TCTCTCAAGGTATTTGTGCATCTTCTGTGTTGACTGGATTACTGTAAGGTCATTAATATAGCAAAACCCTGCCACCAGAGCAGAACCAAGTCCTGCAGCTCCAAAAGTCATCCAGCAACAAAGAAACTCCTTGTTTGTCCCATTCAGTAACAGATTTTCAAATTGCTCTTTTGTTTTGGCATTGTTTACTGGTTTGCAAAGGGTGGCTCAATATAAAAAATCAATCAATGTGATTCACTACATTGATAGAAGTGAGGTGGAAAGACCACACAGTCATCTCAATTAATGCAGGAAGAGCATTAGACAAAATCCAGCGGCCTTTTATAATGAAAGCACTCAGAAAATCAGGAATAGAAGGGAACTTACACAACATGCTAAAGGCCATATGAAAAATCCATAGCTAACATCACACTCAGTGGTGAAAAACTGAAAAATTTCCCCCTAAGATCAGGAACAAAACAAGGATGGCTGCTTTTACTATTTAATTCAACATAGTACTGGAAATTCCAGTCAGAGGCGTTAGGCAAGAAAAGGAAATAAAAGTCACCCACATTGGAAAGGAAGAAGTAAAACCTTTTCAATATGCACATGATATGATTCTATTTATAGAAAAACCCCAAAGTATGCGCAGGAAAACTATTAGAATTAATAAAAGAATTCAGCAAAGTTTCAGGGTACAAGATCAACACACAAAAGTCAGCTGTTTCTATAAACAGCAAGGGATAAATAAAAAAGTAAATAGCATCTAAAAAAATCTGGAAATAAATTTAACCAAGAAGTGAGAGATTCATACGTGAAAAGTACAAACACTGATGAAAGAAGTTAAAGATATAAAAAAATGGGAAAAAAAAGGAAAGACATCCAGTGTTCATGAATTGGAAGACTTAATATTGTTAAGATGTCAAAACAATCTTTAGAAAGAAGTTGAAGGACTCATACTTTCCAAGTTCAAAACTGTACTACAAAGCTACAGTAATTGAAATAGTGTGGTATTGGCATAAGGATAGACATCTAGACCAATGGAATAGAATTGAGAGTCCAGAAATAAACTCATACAACTATGACCAATTGATTTTTGACAAAGGTGGCAAGACCATTCAGACAGAAAAGAATAGTGTTCTTGACAAATATTGCTAGGACAATTGGATATCCACATGCAAAGGTAGGAAGCTGGATCCCTGCATTATACTATATATAAAAATTAACTCAAGGGGTCTTCCCTGGTGGCGCAGTGGTTGAGAGTCCGCCTGCCGATGCAGGGGACACGGGTTCGTGCCCCGGTCTGGGAGGATCCCACATGCCGCGGAGCGGCTGGGCCCGTGAGCCATGGCCGCTGGGCCTGCGCGTCCGGAGCCTTGCTCCGCAACGGGAGAGGCCACAACGGTGAGAGGCCCGCGTACCGGGGGAAAAAAAAAAAAAAAAAAAAAAAAAAGCAAAATACTCGAATATTTGTTTCTCCAAATAAATAATACAAATGAAGGGGAAATGTATCTCAAAACCACAGTGAAGCACCACTTCATAACTACTAAGATGGCTTATCTTTAAAAATGGAAAATAACAAGTGCTAGCAAGGATGTGGGAAATTGGAACTCTTGTACATTGCTTGTAGGACAGCAATGTAAAATGGTGTAAAATGGTGGTTCCACTGTGGAAAACACATTGGCAATTCCTCAAAAGTTTACACATAAAATTACTATATGATATTCTTTTTTTTAAAAATAAATTTATTTATTTGATTTTGGCTGTGTTGAAAGCTGCGCGCGGGCTTTCTCTAGTTGTGGTGAGCGTGGGCTTCTCATTGTGGTGGCCTCTCTTGTTGTGGAGCACAGGCTCTAGGCGCACGGGCTCAGTAGTTGTGGCACATGGGCTTAGTTGCTCCATGGCACGTGGGATCTTCCTGGACCAGGGATGGAACCTGTGTCCCCTGCACTGGCAGGAGGATTCTTAACCACTGTGCCACTAGGAAAGTCCCAGTATATGATCTTGTAATTCCACTCCTAGATCACTGTGCTATGCCCTCCTCCCCCACCCCCCCAATTTAAATGTTGAAGCCCTTACCCTCATGTGATTGTATTTGGAGACACAGTCTTCAGGAAGTAATTAAGGTTAAATGAGGTCATAAGGGTGGGGCCCTAATTAGGATGTCATGATGGGGGTCACAGGATATAGTCTTTTTTAAAAAAACTATTTTTTGGCTGTGTTGAGTCTTGGTTGCTGCGCGTGGGCTTTCTCTAAGTGTGGCGAGCGGGGGCTATCTTTGTTGCGGTGCGCGGGTTTCTCACTGCGTTGGCTTCTCGTCGTGGGGCACAGGCTCTAGAGCACAGGCTCAGTAGTGGTGGAGCACGGGCTTAGCTGCTCCGTGGCACGTGGGATCTTCCTGGACCCGGGCTCAAACCCGGGCCCCGGCACTGGCAAGCAGATTCTTAACCACTGCGCCATCAGGTAAGTCCCAGGATATAGTCTTTTAAGAGGAATCTACCTGAACACAAAGAGGTCACGTGGGCACACAGTGAGATGGCAGCTGCCTACAAGCCAAGAGAAGAGGCTTCAGAATGAACCCTACCTTGCCAGCACCTTGATCTTAGACTTCCCAGCCTCCAGAACTGTGAGAAATAAATACCTGTTGTAAGCCACCCAGTCAATGGTATTTTGTTACAGCAGCCTGAGCAGACTCTGACACCCAAAAGAATTGAAAACTGCTCACATAAGCACATGTATAAGCATGTTCATAGCAGCACTATTCGCAATAGCTGAAAGATGGATCCAAACATCCATCAATAGATGGATGGATAGACAACTTGTGGTATTTAATACAAGGAACAGTGTTTAGCCCCAGAAAGGAATGAAGCACAGGACGTATGCGTGAATCTTGAAAACATGCCGGAGTGAAAGACACAACAGGTCATGTGTTGTTTTATTTCACTTACATGAAATATCCAGAATAGACAAATCCATGGAAGCAGAAAGAATGTAGATCAGTATTTAAAAGGGGCTGAGGGGAGGGAGTGTTGGAAACTACTTAATGAGTAAAGGGGTTTTACTTCAGAGCGATGGAAACGTTTTAGAACTAGATAGAGGTGATAGTTGCACAACACTGTAACTGTACTAAATGGCACTGCATTGTGTACTTTAATTTTGTGTTATGTAATTTCACCTCAATAAATTATTTAAAAAAGACTCAGGGGTGGTGTTCCTGTATGTCAGGATGAAAGGATCTTTAACGAGCAGGTGGATTTGAGCAATGTATGGGTAGGTGGCCATGGATATTGCTGGCACCCTGCCTGAGCACTTATCCCCTACCTACTTTGAGTGTTGAAACTCACAGCTGCCCTTTCCCCAGGGAACTGTCCTTGCTAAAACAGGAGCCCCTTTGCCCTGGACACTACGAGTCACCCCTTCCACCTCCTCCTCACACACTTGGCCAACTGGCACAAAAAGGGCCCTGGTCTCAAAGAGGGACCATCCTTGTGGGGCAGTTTGTCCTCCAGAGCTTCCCTAGGAAGGGGGAGACTGAAGCTGGTCCCCAGCAGAGACAGAAAACTGCCACAATGAGTCATCTGAACAAGAACTGCCTTCTCAGGCTTTGCTTCCAGGGAACCTGATGCAAAATGGTTACGTAAAGCCAATACTGATGGTGAATTATATGGTTTTTGAATTATATCTCAGTGAAGCCATTATATTTAAAAAACACTTATTAACCATTTATAATAACTAAAGGGTTGTTTCTGTTGTTGTTGTTTTTAAAAGTACATCTCACCAGGGTAACGCATTCCTGAAATTTCCTGGTCGGGTTAAATCTGTGAAGTTGAAACTGTAAGCATCAGTAATCTAAAGGGTAAAAATGCTTGTTCTTGACTCCCAAATACCCATTCTTTTAAGAACACTAAATTCCACGTAAATGGTCTCTGTGACAATAAATCTAGAGATAACACGACAGGTCACGGCAGTCTCCCCTTACTAACGTGGCTGATGATCCGCTCGTTCTCTTGTGACTCTTTGCTCAGAGAAATCCATAGCCACAAAACATGCACATCTATTCAGTGTAAATAAAAATAAATTTTAAAAATGGAAATGATGTACAAGATGATCATAAAAGCATCCTAGTGAACCACAAGTCCTGGAGATAAATGGAAAAGGCAGCATGAGAGTTCTCAGCAGCCCTTGCCACCCAAGGAGGTACAATGTCCACACTAGTCCTCAAGAAAAATGAAGGAAATCCTCCTTTGTTGAAACAGGGGTTTTAAAGGAAGCTTTCCTAACGTCAATTTCTTACAATGCAAACAGGTGTGCCTTGTGGTGTGGCCACATTAACCCTTGATGTTTACAACTATGATGTTTGTGTATTACTATGGCCAGACCAGTCACCTGCTTTCACGTGATGTTAACAACAAACTTGGGCCTGTGATCTTGGCCTCGCTGTTCATCAATGTACTGGCTGTACCTAGAAGAACTCTGGAAAAACTTACGGAATGAACAGCTCTCTGCTCAAAACCATTTTCTTAAAATGGTTGGTTTCGTTGGGAGACTAAAGAGGAAAAAGGATAGTCAGGAATTAGAAATCATTCCCTTGGTAGAAATGCAACAAATAGGCCCTGAGGTCAGCTCTGGGAGGGGAAAAAAAAAACACCTAGATTTCCTTTTATTTAAGAGACACACACAGAATGTTCCCCAATTTTCTTCACTGTCCCACATAACCTGGAGGGTCCATCCTTAATTCTGCCTCAGGGTCTGGTGTGGACCTCTTACACCTGTTGATGGCACTTGCTGGTGTTGACCCCTTCCCTGCCCGACTACAGGGGAGAGAACAACTGTGAAGGGTCAGGTCTCATGGGCCATGGAAGTGGGGGAGCAAACGGGATGGCTGGGTCTGTAGGAGGCATAGAAGGGGATGGCCTGGAAGAATGTCTCACGTGAGAGCTGAAGGACTGCCGAAGGGAGGGGTATTCTGAACTCCATCCACCCCCCCAAGTCGGCCGTGGAGAGAGGCCTCCTTCTGTGGCTCAGGAGGGAGATGGGCTCTGGACACGGCCACGCTGCTCTTTGCCCAGCATATCCTCCTCCTTCTGCTCCAAGCTGATGCTCTGTGAACAAGGTTGCAGGTGAGGCCTGGCCTTGCATTTGCCCAACTGTAGCTCTGACACCTCTAGGGGCAGGGCCCTCGACGAGCACGTGTGGCCTGCAAAGTCGGTCTGTTGGGTTGTGCTCTCACCCCTGTGAAGGGAAGCCGCTTCCCACGCCACCTGACATCCGGGCCTGACCTACCTCAAGCTCCTGCAAAACTTCATCCATGAAGTCCCGGGAGTTCTGTTTGTAAGACACAGCTAATCGAATTGCATCGCTGAAGAGCTGGAGGTAAGGTGAAGGCGGCGGGAAGGAAAACAAGGCCGTGGGACCAGTGGCCTGGACTCTGCCTGCCCTGTACCCACTGGCCCCGTCCCCATCATATGTCCAGACAGTACTCCACCCTAAAATCAGCAAGGTCACTCCTCAATTCACCTTTTCCCTGTCACCCTGACCCCACGCATGGTCAACGTACCTTTTCTTCACCAAGCCCAACCCACCACCGCCCCTACTGTCAATACTCACACGACCGCTTCCTGTCACCACATGCTCAGCACAGCCCCCACAACAGTGCCCGTCCTCTCCACCATCCCTGCAGCCAGCCCTCCTCTCCATCGCTTCCCGGGTAACTTCAGCACCAGGCCTTCCCCGGCCTTACGAGACTGTCTCTGCAGTCTCCCATTACCTTCACAACGTTGGTACCATCAGCAGCTGAGACAAAGTACAGGGGCAGGGAGAACTTCCTGGCAAAACTGAAGCTTTTTTGGGTCATCTTTATGTCTGCTGTAGAGAGAAGGTAGGACATGGGCCTGTCTACAAAGGCAAAGGGAGAATTTTGCAGGGCGGGTCACTGGAGGTCCCCATTCTCGGAAGAGGAATGAGCAGGGACAACCAGGGGGCGTGTCTTAAAAAGAGTTCATTTCACTGGGATCTGTGTCTCGAGAAGGCAGGTTGGCTCACTTGGATCCTTACTGGGAGGGCAGTGATGGCAAGAAACCAAGGGCTGTGTGTCGGGAAAAAGAATGGACCATTGACGGTTTGCTGGCCCAGGAAAGGAAGAGGAAACGTGTGATGGTGGGTCCCCCCATGAATTGCTGGCACCTAGATGTAGGGTGGCCTCACCATCGATTTTATTGGCCACCACAAGGCATGGAATCTCTGGCCTGAACTCCCGAAGCTCTGTATACCAGGTGCTCAGGTTCTTGTAGGTGATTTTCCTCTGCACATCAAATACCTGCAATTAGCAGAGGAAAGAAGACAGCCCAAGCGCATCAATGTCTCTGCATGCCACCCCCGGGTGACACACACACAAGCAGGCAAACACGGGCTTGGCAACTCGGACCATGCACCACTCTGAGCCGCATCCCCTCTAAGCACAAAGGCTATGCCTTGCCCACCCTTCTCACCTTCTAGAACCTTCATCTTGTCACCTAACCTTATTTACCTATTTTAACCAGATTTTATCATTTTACTTATTGTATCATTTACTCATTGATAAGTCTATTACAAATGGTTAAGTTTTTTGTTTTTTTCATAGTCTAACTACTGCTTAAACTTTGTTTAAAAACTCCTTTATAATGGGACTTCCCTGCTGGTCCAGTGGTTAAGACTCCACACTTCCAACGCAGGGAGCGTGGGTTCGATCCCTGGTTGGGGAACCAAGATCCCACATGCCACGTGTGGTGTGGCCAGAAAAAACCAAAACACCTCCTCTATGATAATCTTAAATGTTTCTAGAATTTCCTTTCAGTTATTTTGATTTACTTTTAATTATAAACTTTTAATTTTGTCTTTTAGACTTTGCAGAAGTACTTTTATTATTTTGTAGCTTTTTTATCATAATTTTGCTAACTTTCTAAATTTATAGTTTTTACCTATTTAAAAGTGCCCGCAAGAAGCACGGGCGCCGGGACCAGCTCTCGGGCAGGAGGACAGAGGCCCCAAGATGCTTCAAATTGCTGCTGCAGGGACCCTCCAAGCCCCTCACAGGAGCCCCTCAAAGGCCAGCTTTCTGTTGCCCAGCCAACCTCCAGAAGAGACTCACATGTCCAAACTGCCCCAGCACAACAGTAGACTGAGATGCACAACCTGTAACCTGCTGGAATGGCAGATCTTACTTCTAAACAACCCAGCCCTTCACGGGAGTAACCGTGTCCAGGGCCAGGGATTCTGCCTGCACGGCAGTGGGCTCTGGTCAGCAGCTGTCACACCTGAGGCAGCAGGAGGTCCACCTGAGAGGCTCATCTATGGTACTCTCCAGGCCCAATTTCAATAAATGACTACTTTGTCTTGAATTCCCAATAAAGACTTCTTGTAAAATACGCTTGTGATGAAACTTCCGGAATCTGCTTCACACCTCCCATGGCTGCCTGCCATGGTCCGTGTCAGTCACACTTTGTCCAGGTCTGGTTTCCTGAGCTTCCTTTCCTTGTTTTGAGAGCTGAGGAGCTGGTTAGGCTGAGAAGCATACCCTTTGGGGTTTCAAGGTGGAACCCCAGCTCCCTCTGGGACTATCAGGTCCCCATGTGGTCACAAGAGGCTGAGCGCTTTCTACCGGCAAGGCCCCCTACAGCAGGCTGGGGCTGGTGGTAGGCACCTGCACATACAAACACCCCAGGTCTCAGAAGAGGGCCCAAAAGGAGCTAATGGAGGTGTGTCAGAGGCAAGAGGTCACGGCTGCTGGCACTGGTCTGCCCCCATTTGCCTTTTACCCTGTTACCCTCTTTTGTTTTGTCCCATTATAGGTACTAGCATTAAATTTTGGAAAATTTCAAGAGATCTTGTGCTTAAGGGACAGAAGAGCCTGAGAAAGGAGCCAGTGAGTTTGTGGGCAGGAGGTCCTAAAGGACACAGGTTTACAGTTCCCCTCTCTATTTGTGGCCCTTGCCATAGCTGAGTGTCAGGCTCTCCTGCGGCACTTGTTACCTGCTGGCTACTGGGCTGGACCTCTGAGGGCTGTGCTCTAGACAGCAAAGTGAGAGGCTGAGAGGGAGGAGGGGGCCATTTCGGAGGGGAAAGCTCCCTGGGAACCAGAGCCTGCTCAGCCCCAGCATCTGCCCCTAGAGAGCAGCGGATGAGGGAGGCCTCAGGAGCTTGCCTGCGCAGGGAGGCCTCCATTAGGGAGGGACTGTGTTGGACTCTCAGATGCTCTGCCTGATGATGAGGCCCTGAACTTCCTCCTCCCGCTGGAACGGTGGCTCCACACATCCCCCAACCCCCCACCCATGGAAGAGAAGCTGGCCCTGGCGTGTTCTCACTCCGGACCTCTGGGAAGCACGTGCAGCCTGAAGCCTGCGCTAATCCTTCCCTCCAGCACCCAGCCCTAGTGAGGAGGGCTCAGTCCTGCTGGGCCCTTTATCCCTTCACCCTTCAGGCCAGACCTGCCCAGAGCCTTTGCCCTCCAGTTGGTTTCATACCATGATGCAGGCGTGGGCCTTGTGGTAGTAGGAGGCGTGCATGCTCTGGAA